GTCACATGAAATGGCTGGGGAAGCTTGGTGATGTGATATTGAAAGGTGTAGCATGCTAATGATACTAAAATCTACCTATGATTTTGTCATCACCACTGCCATCTTCTATAAATGCAATTGTGAAAAAGTGATGGAGAAAACAACGAGGTAGTTTTAAGATGTTGGGTAGCCCTAAAAGGTATCCTTTTCAAAGACAGTGCAATATGACAATCATGCTTGCTGACTGTATAAATGGTATGATTTGTTTCTGGCTTTGGCCATTAACAGTGATACACTCATTAAAAGTTCAACTGTAACTGCAATCTACAGACTTACTCTAAATATACTGCTCACAAAAATAAAGGGAACATTTTACCATGGAACTGAAGGGGGTTGCGTTCCCTTTATTTTTGTGAGCAGTATATATAGCTTCTAGGGCAACTTTACCGTATGAAGTGGAGCTGTATATGGTGGAGCTAGAACTCCAGAATTCCTAGTCATGGTGGCTAAAGGCAACTCCAATATATTGGAGGAAGTCAAATTAGGGAAGACTGTTCTTGGATCATTTAGCCCTGGCTATATTGTCATTTGCCTAAACAGCCATGTGATGGCACTATTTACCATTCAGTATATGTGGAATTTGCAACCAAACCTTCAGCATTCACATGCATCATTCTTCTGACAAGCCAAACTCCTTACTATCTTCACCAGTATAAGATGTCAGGTTACCTTGCTATGTTTCCTTTCAATAGGAATCAGAGTGATAGAAAGGAATTTTCTCTTTGCAAGTAATGAATTAGTTACAGTGTACTGACAATGACTTATTTTTGGCCAACAGACAAAGTCAAGAAGGTGGCTTCATTTTGGCTGTCTAAAGTTTGATCTAGACCAGAGGTAGAATTCTGGGAGTTGAAGTCCATGAGTCATAAAAGAGCCAAGGTTGCCTACCCCCTGATCTAGACATAAGGAGGAGGAGGAGGAGGAGGAGGAGGAGGAGGAGGAGGAACACAAGAGACTAAGGCTCTTTTACACAACTGAGATTTCATTCCTTCAGACCATGTGCTGGGAAGCTTCATTCAGCATAGTATAGGTGAGGTCAGAACGACTGTTTGAATTGCTAAAACTGAGAGTTTAGTTTTCTTTAATCAAACTTACACTTAACTGAATCATACTCATGATTAAAAATAATCTACACAAGATAGCAAAAACCTCAGATTCCTTGTCTCAGAACCTATATGGAAATTCAACACAGATCTACGGTAAATCCAACAGGGGGAGGGAAGAATGCCTGCCTGCCAGATTTTATCCTAGAAAGATAATCAGATAGTAAATGCAAAAACTCTTCCTCTTTACCTTCCCTGAAGCAGATGAATTTTGCCCCAGTTTACAACCTTCCTTGCCAGAGTTGCTATGTGAATCACTGCAGTTGTTAAGTTAGTAATACAGTTGTTAAGTGAATCTGGCTTCCCCACTGATATTGCTTGTCAGAAAGTCGAAAAGGGGATCACATGACCCCGGGACATAGCAACCGTCGTAAATATGAGTCAGTTGCCAAGCAGCTGAATTTTGATCACGTGACCAAGGGGAAGCTGCAATGGCTGTAAGAGTGAAAAACAGTCATAAGTCAATTTTTTCAGTGCCTTTGTAACTTCGAACGATCACTAAATGAATTGTTGTAAGTCAAAGGCTACCTGTAATATGGAAAGCCTAATCACAATCTCTTGGTTGGTTAATGTATTTACTAAACCTTAAAAAAATATCCTAAGCAAATCAGTTCTGGCAAATACTTAGATGGCAGAGACAGGAATTGTAAGAAGGCAACTGCAAATCACTTTCATATTCTTGAGAAGGAAACCACATGGACATGTCCAGTGAGTAGCAAAATTAAGCTTAATGGAGTATTAGAGTATGGAAGTGACTACTCACGATGACGTGAGATTTGATGTGGTTTTAAAGAGTCTTCCAGAGCACAGAGGCCACTGTAGAAAAGGCTCGTGTGCATTTCCAACTGATAGGATATTCTCAGAAAATTCTCCTTGAGATATTCAGATAGAACAGGCAGAATCAACTTTGGCAAGGCTGTGCCTGAGAGTAATTATGTTGATATCAATTTACAAAGAAAAGCAGCAATGGTAATGGGACCAGTTAATGTCCTGTTGATTAGCTTTTCAGAAGCAGT